CCTCCACCACTGATACACAGTGGCAACAGCGTGTATCATTTACAAAATACATAGCAGAAATTCACCAAGACTCCTTCAAGATCATCTTCCAGATCCATGATTTTACCACCTACTAGGGCAAAGGCAGCAGATGCATGGGAACTCCACCATCTGCAATATCTCCTCCAAGCTACACACTACATACTTGGACATGTATTTCCGCTTCTTCGCTGTGGCTAGATCAAAATCCTGGAACTCCCTTTAATATCATGTGTGTGTTCCTACACGCTATGGACTGTGGTGATTCAAGAAGGCAGCCCTCCCTCACCCTCTCTAGGGAATTAGTATTGTGAAATAGATGCTGGCCTGGCCTGTGATGGCCCCTCCAATGAAGATTAACCTATCATTACAGTCAAGCTATGACCACCTAGGGTAATGGGTAGAAAGGTGTTGCAACTCAGAGGTAATTTAACCCTAGAGAAGCTGGAAGAAACTTGAATAGCTGTTGAAAGTTTCTGATAGCTTTAAACATCCTGCAAAAAGCTGCAAAATAAAATTTGTTCAGCTATTAATTTGGAGACCCAGGTAATGTTCTGGGGACTTGGGTTGAAATTCTGCCATAACAGATGGTGCAATTTGAATTCAATAAAATAACTGGAATTAGAATCTAATGATTACGATGAAACCATTATCGATTGTTAGGAAAAATCCAACTGGTTCTCTAATATTCTTTAGGGAAGGAAATTGCCACACTTACCTGGTCTGATCTACTTGTGACTCCAGACCCACAGCAATGTGGTTGACTCTCAACTGCCCTCTTGGCCATTAGAGGTGGGAAATGTACGTTGGCTTAGCCAGTGACACCCTCATCCCGTGAATGAATAAAATAAAATTTACAATTGGAATGTAACGGATCTCTTATCTGAATCTACTTTGTTCTGACAATGAACTGAGTTGTGTTTTCTGGGCCTCAACATTTTCAAATCAGAAAATCAAGTCATTGAAATTAAAACATTTATAGGCAATTAATATTTTCATGGTTTGAATGTGTCAGGGTATCCAATGACCATCTCAAGAATTCAGATAAAATATGGGCCACATTCAAAGTTCAAATATGAGTGAAACTCAACTGTTCAATACATCAATAAGAATTCATGTACTTTGCAGGCTCAAACATCCTTCCTTTTCACACAATGAAATGTACATACCCACGAAAGTGGCAAGTGATGATTTGACCAACCCCACTGCCAAAATCATGGTGTCCAATTGACACAGAGATTCCAGCTCTGGAATCTATTATATTCAACTTTTGATGCAAAAACTCACCTTGGTCACCCCAGATGTACCATAAATTCAGTGATTGTAAGCGTACTGACATGCAAGGACCTGTCCTTCGTCTCCATCCATGATACTTTCAAGACAATAATATGAACCATAGTCCTTAAGGAGCAACATCTGAGGCCCTGTATTTGCACAGGGTGAAGAGATACCTAACGATGCAAAACAGATAATCAGACAACTGGCTACACAGCACTGTTAAACTGAACACATGTACCTGTTACAAATTTGCAAAACTTTTACTGTGGAACCAACCCAGAACTGCTATTTTGCAGGTAAGTGCAGACTACCTTGATACTCCCAGGAATATACAATGCATTACTTTAAAAAACAGACAAAGGTGAAAAAATGCCCATGACCTGTGTTCAGGTAACTAATTAACCAGCCTGAACATTGGATAGAAAGCTCGAGTACAACATTCAACATCCTGTCCAACAGAAATTGTGAACCTATGCTCAGAACCAAGATTGTATCAATTATATCGTGCACCAACTCAAAACAATACCACAGCCAGAAACATCAAGTACCCTTATGAAAAGGACACAGTCTAAAGTGCAACACAAACAAAACACCTCTAACCAGTATTCTGAAAATGAACAGCAGCCTCCAGCAAAGATCAGTATAACTAAAGCTGGACATAACAAACCACTGGAACATTTTAGTGACTTGTCTTTTAACTCAAGGCAGTAAGTTTCCATGATGTGATGTTATATTTGTTTCATAGTCAAGCAAATAAATTGATTCTTTAAGGATGAGTTTTAGTTAGATGTTGTGATATGAAGTGCAATTATCTTTAATGGGATGTACCTTAAACTACAATGACAGGCTATGACATATTAGAAACAAAAACAGAAATAATTGGAAAAACTCAGCAGGTCTGGCAGCATCTGTGAAGAGAAGTTTCGGCTCTGAAGAAGGGTCACTGACCCGAAAACATTAACTCTGACTTCTCTCCAGCATCTGCAATTCTTTAATTTTTTTAATGATGTAATAGTCCTTCAACTCATTAGTCAGTCTGAAGCAGCAATAGTAACAGTCAGATGTACAGGACTTACCTTGCAGGGGTCAGTTTATCTCAGTTGGCTGGATGTTTGGTTTTTGATGCCAACAGTGTGGTTTCAATTCCCATCACCAGCTGAGGTTACCATGAAGGACTATCCTTCTCAACCTCTCCCCTCTCCTGAGGTTTGGTGACCCTCAGGTTAGATCACCGCCAGTTACCTCTCTCTAATGAGACAGCAGCCCTATGGTCTGGTAAGACTATGATGACAACTTAACTTGCAATGACCATTACCTGTATACAGTCTAACCTTCAAATAAAAAATTTACCTCATTGGTTCACCAAGCCTTGTATGTAATTAGTTTCTTATGTTAATATAAAATCTATAACTTGACTATGTGAATAAGGCATATGAGAACACATGCCTATGGTTTTTAACCATCAACCTGATAGGCAGTAAGATTTTCAGTTCCTTGTTATGTCCACACCGAAACTTCACTCAACTTACACAAGGGTCCTCCCATTTTGATCTCTGCTCCTGAAAAGAACACATGCATTTGAAGATATTTTCACAAAATGTGTCATATTTGTGCTGAAACCCATTGCCGTCTGCCCTTTTCCTGTCACTTTCACTTGCCCAAGGACCCTGTGCCTTCAACCTCTGGTTGGGCCCTGTCACACCCCAAAACGAAATACTATTTCTCTGTCTGACGATGTATCCATCTCCATTGACATTCTCTCTTTAAATTCTTGACACTCTTTGCATCACCCTATAGTTTTTGTTAGATCGCATGACCTGCCCTATGAGACATTCAGTCTGAGGTTGGGTTAATTGGATATGCCTGCATCCACTTATTGTGTTGATGCTCCGATGACTGTAAATAATCTATTTACATCCAGCACCCTGATATGGACCCACACACGGATGGTACTGACTCCACCCTTTAGGCCCACAATTTTCTTACATTGACTGTCCTTTCAAAACTCAGGACTACAAATCCTTCCCATCTCACTCATCCAAGCCCCTGACCACAATCTCTATCCTCTCTTGGACCCCTCTTGCATTCCATTATGGCCCTGACCCTGCTGCAAACCACCCCCACTTCTGAGTTTTGACTCATGCTTGCTGGACCCAAACATCTATGCATTCTCCTCCATACCACTGTTTGGTCCCAGAGTTCAATCAGGAAAACTGCAGACTTCAGGCATAATGCACGAATCTCTCAATGGACACCATTTTTAAACAAACATGAACCAGGTGGTACAAAGTTCCTGCGCACTTTTAACTTAATGCTCAGGGTAGGACATAATTTCCAAATATTTTTATGCAATGAGTATTCATGGCAAGCCAGTATATTGTGTTGCAACCATGTCTGGAGAGGTAAATAATTTCTCTTTTTTACCCCGAGGATGATTATAACAAAGTTTGAATTTTAAAAAGGTGTGATTTTTCAATTCAATATTCACTTGACATGTACAAAGCTATATGAGAAAATGAACCAGACATTTCTCTTGAGTTAACAAACCGAAAGTGTTAGTTTTATTGTAAACTTGGGCAAGCAAAGTATAAATGAAAAACTACTCTCAAATCCTGTTACACACATGCAAAACAATAAATATTATAAGATGGGGAGATGGAGTTAGAGTCATGGAGTCATACAGCATGGAAACAGACCTTTTAGTTCAACTCATCCACTCTGACCAGACATCCTGATCTGACCCAGTCCCATTTGCCAGCATTTGGCCCATATCCCTGTAAACCCTTCCTATTCGTATACCCATCCAGATGCCTTTTAAATGTTGCAATTGTACCTACCTCCACAACTTTCTCTGGCAGCTCGTTCCATACATGCACTACCTTCTACATGAAAATGTTACCCCTTTGGTCATTTTTAAATCTTTACCCTCTCACCTTAAACCTGCGCCCTCTAATGGACTCCCCCAAACTAAGAAAAAACCTTGGCTATTCACCCTTTTAATGCCCCTCATGCTTTTATAAAGCTATGTAAGGTCGCCCTTCAGCCTCTATGCTTCAGGAAAAAAGCCCCAGCCTATTCAGCCTCTCCCTATAACTCAAAACCTCCAACCCTGACAACATCCTTGTAAATCTTTACTGCACCCTCTCAAGTTTAACAACATCCTTCCTATTGAAGAGTGACCAGAATTGTATGCAGTATTCTAAAGGTGGCTTCCCCAAAGTCCTGCACAGCCGCAACATGACACCCCACTCCAAGACTCAAATTTCTGACCAATGAAGGCAAGCATGCCAAATGCCTTTTTCATCACCCTGTCTACCCACAACTCCACTTTCAAGGAATAATGCACCTGCACCCCTAGGTCACTGTTCGGTAATGCTCCCCAAGTCCTTACCATTAACTTTTTAAGTCCTGCCCTGGGTTACCTTACCAAAATGCAACACCTCTGTTGGCCAGGGCTGCAAAGTGTTAAAGCTCAAATGGACAATCTGTGAGTTGTTCAAGCTGAATGAAAGGACATGCTAATAGTCATGTGCACATTGGTGGCTACTCAGCCTAATCAAAGGGAAGCAGTTCTGGTACCTGATTTGGAGGATCAGCGCTTTGCAACACAACGCGGACATTTCTGATTGGACAGAAGCCGATAAGCGATCAGCGATAAAACCCAGCAATCGCTCAAGCCTTATAGCGTAACTCCCGCAGAAAAACAGTATATAAGCATCCCACCTTGGCAGGAAGTGAGATGAAAAGGGAATAAAGAAATTCTAAGGAGAGAAAGAACTACCGATGCTTAAAGTAGGAGATAACACTGCGGAGCTGGAAGAAGACAGCAGGCCAGGCAGCATCAGACGAGCGGGAAAGCTGACGTTTCGGGTCGGGACCCTTCTTCAGAAACTACAGCCTGGCCAGCTAAGTATTCCTGAGTAACGCTTCAATTTAAGTGCAGTATTGCGCTAGTAGAAAGGTGACTAGCGTAGTTTTGTTGGCTGTTTACAACTTGTATTTGGGAATATATTGATATTTGCATATTTTCAATATGTTGGTACTTGATACTCTTAAAATATTTTGAGAATGAAAGCATGAATTTCTTAAGTTAAAGAATGCGCTGCTTTTTAACCTCTGAGTTTAAACTGAGCTAGTCAACAGACTTTTGGCGTCCGTGTGAGCTGGATAAGCGTTTTAAAGTTCCGAGACAGGACCGGCTCCTAAAAGAAAACATCTAAACGGAGGCCCCAAGACGCTGCTTGAAGGCCAAGGAGCTAAAACAAACAGTGAAGTGAATTCTGAAGCACAGGACTTTTCAAGATAGTAGGGCTGTTAGAAAACGATTTCAGGGAACCTTGACTGGAGAGGGTTTCTCCACTAATATTTGGCTGAGAAGTGGCCAAAATAGTGTTTAACTAGAAAAACGAGTTCTGGGCCTGAGCTTTTGCTAAGGATAGCATGAGGAGTGGAAACTTTTAAAAAGTTGCAGGAGGCTGTGGCTGGTAGCTGCTTGGCAGAAGATTTGGTAGAGAATCAAAAGGAGACGCTGAAGCTGAGATGATCTTTGAAAAGAAATAAATGTGCTTGCAGAAACAACTGAAAACTAATTTACCTGTGTGAAACAACATGAAATTAGAGGAAAAACCAATGAGGCATTTAAGGAAAATGAGGCCTTGAAAAAGCAATGTAGTAATTTGAAGACTGCTGTGAAGGTAATGTATAAAACTTAGCAGTACTATAGGGGATTAGTGTTTGAGAGCTGTTTAGAGCCAGGTTCCTGCTCAGTGAGGCATACCATATATACTTGAGTAAAAGTCAATCTTGTGTAAAAAGTTGACCCTAGTTCTTTGCAGATAACAGATCTAATACTTTGATTCACACAATAATACTTTGAGTCAATGTTACAAGCAACTTTTCATGCTATTGTGTTTTGATATTCAACTGAAGCCAATATTAGGCTAAGGATCTCTAGTTCATTCTTGAAGACTGTGACTTGTATAATTAGTATTCAATTTTTTTATATACTAGGTGGATGTGGTAAAATGGAAACAGAGTTGAAACAGCATTTGGACTTCCCATTCTCCACATGTGATGAGATTAAGATTGTGGGCTTAATTCATATTATGAAGACTTTTGATAGTTTTGCCACAAAGGTAGCACTTTTTTTCTTCAAGAAAAATGTCCAATGGGAGTGGAAGCCAGAACATGCAAGCAATAATAGCTTTGAAACAGGGCTTGGCCAGCACTGCTGCTCTGTAAACCCCAAATCCAGCTGAACCGCTTTTTGTTTAGAGGTGGCAGCAATGTACTGCACAGCATTGGTTGTCTTATTACAAGAGGTACATGGTTAGCTGAGACAAGTAGCCTATACCTTGTGCATGCTTACACCAGTGGAACATGACATGTGAAAGGCATTTGTCAGTATTCTAGCCTGTAGGCAAAACATTGTACATTGTAAGGTTGGACCTATTGGCCACTTCAATGGACCATACACTCATTCAGATGCTGTTGGATGAATGTGTTAATGATGGCACAGTGAGATGATAGAATAGGATTGCTACATGGACATTCCTGTCACCAAGAACAGAACATGGGTTAAAAGTACCATAATGTTACCAGAATGTCCCTGAGACCACTTGCATCAAAGCAAAAAGTGGGTGGGGGGGGGGTGATGAAGAGAACAAAGAAAAATCGCTCAAACTTTTTGTTGATGGCTCTTCATCTGTGCAGAATGGGGAAAAGAGAAGAGGATGTGGCCTCTATATAGAATAATAGTGGACAGGAAATAGCTAGTATAGCCCTCAAACTGTCAAAGACCAGTGTTCAAGCAGCCAAATTGACAGCATTAGTATACCTAGTGAGTCACCTGGAAATTTTCCTTGGAGTAGTGCACTGCTGCCTCAACACCAGGAACCAGGTTTGATCCCAGTCTTGGGTGACTGGTGTTTTTTGGCCTTTTTTGCCATGTCTGTGTAGGTTTCCTTCAGGTGTTCCAGCTTCCTCTCATAGTCCAAAGATGTGCCGGTTAGGTGGATTGGCCATGCTAAATTGCCTGTAGTGTTTGGGGATGTGTAGATTAGGTGGGTTATAGGGGATATGTCAAGGGTCAGTGTGGATGTTTTGGGCCGAGAGGCCTGTCCCCACACTATAGGGGTTTTTATGATAATGCTGTCAGCCTCCCTTCAGGAGTAGTGGTCAAGAAGGCATACGGCATGCTTTCACTCATCGGATGGGGTATGAAGTACAAGAGTTGACTGGTCATGTTACAGTTGTATAGGACTTTGGTTTGACCACATTTGGAATACTGCATATAGTTCTGGTCACCACCTCCACAAAAGGATAAGGATGTGGATGCTTTGGAGAGGGGGTTCACCAGGATGTTGCCTGGTATGGAGGGTGCTCTCAATGAAGAGGTTGAGTAGATTAGGATTATTTGTTAGAAAGACAGCGGTTGAGGGGGGACCTGATTGAGGGCTACAAAATCATGAGCTATAGACAGGGTGGATAGCAAGAAGCTTCTTCCCCAGAGTGGGGGACTCAATTACTAGGGTCACAATTTCAACATGAGGGGAAATGTTTAAGGGAGATATGCATGGAAAGTTCTTTACACAGGGTGGTGGGTACCTGGAATGCATTGCTGGTAGAGTTGGGCATGATAGTGTCATTTAAGATGTATCCAGACAGCTCCATGAATGGGCAAGGAGCAAAGGGATACAGGTCCTTGGAAAATAGGTGACAGGTTTAGATAGAAGATCTGGATTGGCACAAGCTTGCAGGGTCTGGTCCTGTGCTGTAATTTTCTTGTTCTTTGAAACTGTCATAATTACCTGGTCTGGCCTATGACTCCAGGCCCACAGCAATGTAGTGGACTCTGAGCTGCCTTCTAGGCAATTAGGGATGGGCAAAAAAAGCTGCCTAGCCAGTGACACCCTCAGCCCATAAATTAATTGAAGAAAAGTTGTATTGAGCTTGTTGTTCTTTTCTCCTCACTGAGGAACCTAAAGACATTGTCTGAAGTCTGATAACAATAAGAATTTGCTAAATCTGTTTTTCTGTCCACAGGTTCTGCTAGACTTGCTGAGTCTCTCTTCCTAGTCCTATTTCTGTCCATACTATCCTCTATCACTTTCTGACATGACACATGATTGTTTCTTTTCTGCCAGCTGTACTTGGGACATAATTCCCATCATTGGAGGTTTCTCCAAATTAGTCCAGTGAGCTTCACGCTTAACAGCTCATCGAATTTGCAGTCCTTTTCAATGATAAAAGATCAGGGACAGAATTACAAAAGGTATCTGAAGGACTGGGACAGTTTCCCACTTCAGTTGGAGCTTGGAAGTTGCTTATGAGGAGACAGCATCTTTGATCAAAGTCAACTGGACAATGAGTCAAATAGCTGTTGTTGAATGAATGCAGTGCAAGTGGACTAATTTTACTTATCTATTTTGACAGTGGAGTACAAGTCTTTGAATTTGAGGTGCTACAATGGACTTGCTAAGCATATAGCCACTGACTCAGTAATGCCTCCCACCTGGCCTGAAATTTCAATTACTGCTAAGCCATTCTTGTTCAAGAATGAACATGAAGATTTCTAGCATTATGGCATTATTATGAAGACTGGCCTACTCTTGTTTCCATGTTTGTAATGGTGGAACAGGTTTGAAGAGGTGAATAGCTTGCTTCTGCTCCTATTTTCCATGTTTCTATGTTCATCCTGGGTACTGTAGAGATACCAGTTCCCATTCTCAATTGAGCCTGTCTTCCTAAATCCATCTTGGAGATTGGACTGATTGTGGCCCAAGGGTTTGGCCAATAATGGTTCATCCCCTCATCAGGGGACAGGAGAAGGAGTTCTAGGGAGATCAGGTAGCTAAGCCAAACAATGGCTCCTTATTGGAGATAAGGGTGGCACCTCCATAGACAATAGAAGGGGACTGGTACTTCTCGCATGGGGGTTTGCCACAGCTAATGGCCACTCTGATCAGTAAAGAAGGTGTAGGACCATCAAAGGGCACACCAATGACAACCATGGATGTGGTTTGCAGGGGGAACAGACAGTGATAAAATGGGTGCCCCTTTGTTCCAAAAAGGGTCTCAATGAAAGTCAAGTCGAAGTCCACTTTTGTTTTGGACAAATAAATCTGGTTTGTGGCTGGTATTAGACTGCTGCCCATTAACTCTGTAATTGCCAGCTGTAAGCAGGGATTTATTGACTTTCTTTCAGTGGAGAAAGTTGCTGTGTAAAGAAGCTGAAAGGATTTTGGTTAATCTAGAGGATGGGACAACAAATGTGGCTGTAAGATCTGATTTTTATTTTTGGCACTTTCAGTGTTGGAGCTGACTTCCTCATTCTAGGAGCAGTAATCACTTTTATATGCTGTTGCATTGTTTCAGAACTTTTGGGGGAGAAAGAATTGAAACAATGGCACTCCTTTAAAAAGGAGGAAGAGAGACATAGGCAGTGACTACATGGGTAGTGAATCAACCAGAAACTTGCACAGCTGACAGCCTCTGCTGTTTGACCCCAAATATTGGGAGCTGGACAGTTGCAACACTTAAAGCACCTGGGTGGCTATATGAAGAAGCAAGGTTTAGAGGGATATGAGCCAAATGGGCCTGGATTTATTGAGGATATCTGATCAGTGTGGACAAGTTGGACTGAAGGGTGTTTCCATGCTGTACAGTTGTATGACTCTAATTGAAAGTAGATGCTTATTAACTTGTCCATTTTTTTCTTTCAGAAGCACAATTTCAGCTAATCAGTGACAGGAGTTGTACCTAAAGGAATTAAGGGGAAAAGATGTTGTTGTGGCTTTCTGGAGGTGGGGTATTGTTCCCCTGAGACACCTTTGGCCCCAGGAATGATTGTTACTCTGCTACATGAGGAGAAGCTGATATTTGGTAAGTGATTAAGATCTCCTTAGGTTCAACATGTAGTAACTGGGATTAATGTTTACAAAATATCTGTAAAACATTACTTTATTCCAACTTGATATTTAGTTATCTGGTAGTTCCTTGGAACACATTAAAGATGGTAGGACAAGTGATGTGTCACAATTACAGTATATGGGAGTTCCTGGATATAGATTTGGTCCACAGCAAACATAGAATATTTCTGAAGTTTGAGCAGCTTTGCCTCCGCTTATGAACTAGAGGCTGAGATAAAACAACCTTCCACCCTGCCTGATGTTTCAAGGTTGTTTTATCTCAGGCTCTAGTTCATAAGCTCAGACAAATACAACTAGAATTTGAATTGGTTAAAGGATAAAATAATGGCTATTAAATATGTTTGTGTATTCTGATTGAAAATAAAACAGCTGAACTGACTTCAAGTAGAAACTACAACAATTTGGTAGTTATTGCAGGATGATGTGGATTGGGACCTGAATCTTTGAAGATATTTTAGGCATGACAGGAACCTTGGAAAAGCAAACTTGTGCTTGTGTTAATGAGCAGATCCATAGCGACTGCTGTCTTTTCTCTTCTCTTGAATAGAAGAGCTACATTTGCTATCTTACACTTGGTCTCCAAATCAAAGGAGTTTGGGAAATTCAAAACCATACCTTAACTAACTGACCAGCCACTACTTTTAACAGCCTGGGATAAAGTCTACCAGAATATAAACCAAGATGTGGAAACTGAATAGAAATAAAATTACAGAACTCAGATTCCATCATGAGTGATGTACAGACCCCTAACAGTAACCACATGGTAAGATGGTCCTTATTTCCTGTATGCTGTTCAGAAATCCCATTTTAGTATAGTGGGAAATATCCATTTCTATATGGACTTGAAGCCAAATAGACAGAAGTAGCCTACATGAGTAGTCATAGAATGCTTTCAGAATTATTCCTTAGACTCCACTATGAACATATCAGAATATACTAGACCTGAGATTGAACGTTCAAGAGATTGATTAATGATTATAGCAAAGCTACCCCTGGGTAGCAGTGACCATAATATGGTTGAATTTTACAGTTTGAAGGGGAGATGAATGGATCAAAGCAATTTTTAAAATTTAAATACAGAATTGTAATGGCATGAAAACAGAGCTGGCTAAAGTGAATTAACAAATTAGTTTCAAGAATAGATCAATACACAGACATTTAAGGGGTATTTCTCTAAACACAGGTGAGATGGCTTCCAATGAAGAAAAATTTAAAGGCTAGACCCACCATCTGGTTAACTAGAAATGTCAAGCACAGTAGCAAACTAAAAGGGGAATAAAGCAGAAATAAGATTGACTTGAATAGTTAAAAATGACAAAAGTAATCAACAGGGAAAATTAATGCTTGAGAAAGCTGGATGAAATATATAGAAAACTAGTAAGAAGGGAATGTGATTCTTTCCAGTCCTACAGAATCGGACTGGAAAGTTCTTATCAGAGAATGAAGAAATGGTACATGAGTTGAACAGATTTTATGGTGAAGATGATTGCAAAGAAATGTAAACTTCTCAGAAGTAGCACTGGGAAATGGAAGGGACTCTAGGAAAATTAAAATCACCAGAGATATGGAATAAATGGTTGGAACTGTGGGCTGTCAAATGATCAGGATCTGATGGATGTCATCCAGTGTTCAAAGTGGCTAGTCAATGGTTGATTCACAACTTTGATTTTTCTGAACCTCTAATTCCATGATGGTCCCACTCACTGGAAGGTAATGAATGCACCTCCTTTAAACAAAGGAGAGGCAAAAGAATCAAACTGCAAGCCTGTTACCTTAACACGTGTCATAGGGAAAATGCTAGAAGCTATTTATAGCAGGAAATGCAGATAAGTTCAAGGTAATAAGGCACTGAATATCACTTTGTGAAAGGGAAATCATGTTTGACCAATTGAGTTCTTTGACAAGATAATATGTGGCAGATAAAGGGAGTCTTTATCTGTTGTAATGATTACTATTCTGCAATCTAGAAGGCCTTTGATATAAAGGGTTACTGAGGAAAATAAAATCTCATTTGGTGGGGGTAGCCTATTAACATTGGAGAAGAATGATGTGCTTCCCATAGCCAATCACTTTAACAAAAGTGTCTTGCTCACATGCCCACTTGTCTGTCTTCTGTATGATGCAATGCTCCAGCAAATCATGGCACAAACCAGAGGAACATCATCTGTCTTGCCAAACGAGGCAGTTTGTACCCTTCTGGGCTCTGTTCAAATTGTGAACCCATTCCTTCCCTGTGTCTCACCCCCCCCCCCACCAAACTAGGACTGTTCTTTCCAGTCTGGCAGTCAAACACAGCATTGTTCTGCCTTTCTCATGTTCTGATTTTCCCCCTAATATGAACTACCAACATCTGACCTCCCCAGCACTCCAACCACACCACCTTCCACCCCCACTATTGCAGAAATGCTGCCTCCTCTACACTTCACTTGGGTCACCTCGACTCAAAATATTAGCATGCAGACTGACCTCCAACTTTTTTCAGTATAGATGCCAATATCTGCAGTGATTGGCTTCTGTGGTATGACCCAGATTGTACTGGGACTACAACTTATGACTTTGAAGAAATTAAAGGTATGGTCACTTAACTAACTCCTCAAAACCAGTGTCCTGTCACCAAGGCACCCTTTATATACATGTGCGTAGGACTTGACTGAGTGAACAGAACCTCTTGCATTCCTGTTTATACCCAACAGCCAGGGCTCCCTGATTGGGGCTGTTAACAGCCCCAATCAGTGAACTCCTATTCTGAGTGTAACATGGTCAACCTCCTATTGGAGGCAGGGGGGAGGACTAGCCCACCAAGGTGGCTATGTCTACATCACATCCTGGCCACCAGACATCACTTCTCACCAATATCATCACTTCTTGGACACCTCTGGATGACCTTTGGAGCTCAGCCAGTATCTTGTGGCAACATGATGATGATTTCACTCCTGCTCTCCATGATATAAACTGCTATCCTCTTAGTGATCAGGTCTCTAGGTCCAGAGAGGTTTCAATTCTGGCTGTGATTTGTTTTCCTTTCCCACTGCCACCCCTGTCATTAGCTGTCTTTAGTTTTTGCCAGGACTATATCTTTTGATTTCCATAGTTGGAAACTCAGCAGTGACTAGAAGGCTGTAGGTTTGAAACCAGAATGGATTCTGTTTGTGGCACCACTACTGTGGGCTATGGGCAGCATAGCCTTGTCCTGAGTAGCCCAGTAGGGATTTGTGGTCTGCAACTATTACAGACTTAAGATATTGGTGGAACATTCTTACACTAAAGATTAACACCAAACCTTCCTTCTCTGGACAAACTTGCTTTCTGCATCAACCAAAGGTTAGCAAACATACTCTTGGGCATACATCTCCAGAGGGTCATCTGTGACCCAATAGTACCTACTGTACTGTATGGGGAGGCATCACATGTTAGCACCATATCTCACAGTAATACTATATTGACACCTTGGGTGATATCTGTTTCTTTTCCCTAGAGGCTACACCTTGATTAAGACAATTTCTAAGGCTGACACTTGCCCAGTAGCAGATGTAAGGGTGCCAGGATGAAGGCCAGGCTAAAAATGAACTTTCTGTAATAGTCACCAATCCAAGACCTAACATCAGTTGTAGATGTGGGAGCCAGGGGACATTTGATCATCCTCATGGTATAACCTGAACTTGTCTATTCTGAACCTCCATTAGGTCACTTAAGGTGTTAGAACACATTTTTCCCTTCTAAGGCATACACCCAACTTGGAGAAACATCTAAGGATTGTGCCCAAGTCTTGTAACTGCCCTTTATTTGGGTTTCCATATCATCCAGATAAATGATGACCTGGGGTAGACCTTGTAAAATGTTTTTCTTGTCCACTAGAATGTGGCACAGGCTGATATCCCAAATGGCAGTCTTGCATATTGGTACAAACCCTATGGGTATTAATTGTCACATACTTTTGGGAATCCTCGTGCTGCAACTGCAAGTACACATGGCTCGTCTAGCTGCTTCAAGGACAGCACCTCCTTACCCACAAACAATTTTGTGCAGTCCTCTGAGGGATTCAGTATTTATCCAGCTGCGTAAGGGGGTTTACTGTTTGATTAAAATCATGCATGAACCAACCCATTGGACTTCACAATTGATGTGACCCATACTGCCCATTCTACAAACTAGACTGGTTTGATGATTCCTTTGTTTTGCAGCTTCCTGATTTCTGCCTTTACTTTGCACTTAAAACAAATCACACTGGATGGGCCTGCAGAATTGTGGAATTGCTTCCTGGTCAAGATGCAGGGTGGCCTTGTCTCTTTCAATAGTCCCTAGAAGCTTCTCAGGAAGCTCTGGGTTTAAAATAGGTCTTCACTCAGGCATCCACTTCCTAATTGAAAGAAATGGTGAGCCATCCAAGATGAATATTTTTGAATCAATATTCTCCCATTAATGAAGGTGTAGAGCTGGATGAACACAGCAGGCCAAGCAGCATCAGAGGAGCAGGAAGGCTGATGTTCCAGGCCTAGACCCTTGCCCCATTAATCTTGGCCTGAACCTTTTGACTATATTCAATGGTAACTAAACCAGCTGTTTCTCATGAGACCAGAACTGGAGTTGTACTCTTAATCCATAAAGGTAAGCCAGTATAAGTTCAGTCCAGCTGAGGTCTTGAGCAAACTTAACAGTTGATGTTGGAGCAAACTTTTTAAGACTGGTTCTGAAATCACTGATAGCTGTGCCAAAATAATGCCATTAGAACAGGATCTCCACTCCTTATTGAGTAGGGGAGGTTACATGAAAGAAAATTCCTGCTATTCACCTAAGTAACTATTTAATCCTAACTGAATTCTCCATAACTACTAACTCATGCCTAACAGAACTCAACTCTATTAATGCTGTTCCATTAAGCACAAGTCCCACTTCTATGAACCCAAATAATAAGAAAATAAATTAAATTTAAAACTCCGGGCATGTAGTCTTCAG